AAGGAACACCAATAGCAATCATCAGGAAATCAAATGGTTTCAACAGAAAATCACTAGGCACAACAGGAAATCCATAGCCATGAATGGACACAGAAAGGAATCCACAGGAAATCAAAAGGCTGGATGGCTTGCACCATCAATTCTGAACGCACACCCATCCTACTCCCCACGGGAGCGTAAAAAACCTTGTGCAATCTATTTTTTCGTGGCCCCGTTCCCCAAAATCACTACCCATCAAAAACCTTGTGCCATCTACCCCCCCTGAAATGGGCCAAAAAAGTGTCCCGAGGTGCCATCATCTCGCCCTCCCGTTCTTTCCGAGTTGTGCCACTCACTTTTTGTTTGGTGTATGCACATCACATGTTGGTACCGAGTTGGCGTTTGGAGTTCGTACATTACGAGCGTGCCAAACCTCACAGGTTCTAGATTCGCAGTTGCCAAATTGAACCACAGTCCGGCCCAGAGCGGCAAGTTCCACGGCAACCAGATGAAGTAAAGCTTTAGCTTCTGCAACTCCCACCATGTCGTTGTTTGGGATAGTTTCAAGAGTCGGGATTCAGGGTTGGAGTTGGCCGACGACAGTGCGGCTAAAGCATGTTTGGCAACTCGAAAGCTTCACCCCTTCAAAAGGATCGGGGCAATGTATCACATGTTCCCAAGCCACAACCCAGTGGAATGCATGATTGACGCTGACGCGACCTTTTCTTATTCTTGTCGAACACGACCCAAGCGAAGGGAAAGCAATTTAGCCAACCCTGGCTGAAAGAATCGTAGAGTTTGTCTACTTGCTTGCGCAAACAACATACGCCATGTTGATTTGTGTTTGTCCTCATGTTATCGTGGCATATGACATATGTAAGGTTGGTCGGAGTGAGGCGCAAATGCTATCTCACATTTGAATTAGTTTGTGGCAACTATTTGGAAAAGTCATGAAAAGTCGTTGGGTTCAGAATTCGTTCCCTCAGGTCCGGTAGACTGGCGATGTTGTGTTTTCCTGTTCTGGTTTTATTGAAGAGTCTATCGGCAAACGTCATTAACGAGTGCCAAATTGCCAGGCAGAGTCCCAAGACCAGAGCCTAGAAGGAGCCCCATTCTGCAACTGATGTGGTTGGCAGAGCTGTGGGTAGAGCGTTTCACCATTAAGATAATGGATTTCGGCAGTGTGCAACGCAAGTTTGGGGATGCCTATTTCAGGAGACAGCAGCGAGGACAGTGCTTGCAGTGATGAAGAGGAGGAGAGGCCAGCGGTGGATTCCGATGAGGAGATCAACAACCAAGGAGAGGAGATTCAGCTAGAAGACGGAGAGGAGGAACGGCAGAACACCAAGCGACTGCGGTCCAAGACTTCTCCATTGGTCTTGCTGGACTTTCCTGTGCCGAAGTATTTAGACTACCCAGATGATGCCTGGCCCGCGGTGTGGAAGGGGCACGCTGCCCCAGAGCCCGGAGAGAAGGGCTTCAATGAGTACGCGTTGAGCTCCATATCCCAGGTCCTCAACTTTTGGGAGAATGGCAACCTCCGCGACTCACACCAAGTGTACCAGCAGACTCCGCTGGCATGTGCGCACCCTTTAGCGCCTTGCAAGAGATTGTTGGTGGACGCTCGGATGGGAGCTGGGAAGACCAAAGTCTTGATTTCCATCCTGGATGCCCATTTCGAGGACCGCAGGAAGAAGCTGCCAATCTTCCCGACCAAGGCATTGGTGGATGGATTCATGGATGAGATCCTCCGGTGGCCAAACAAGTACCGTAGCTACTTTGCTTTGATGCAGCCGGAGCTAGCGGCAAGGGCTGTCCCTTTGCCAGCCACCCTCACCATGGAAGAGTTGCGGGAAGCATTGCAAAGCCACGAAGGCTGTGAGTGGAAGGTTCCTGCCGGGCAGGCATCCGACCTTCGCCGCAGACTGCAGACAGAGCTGGAGATGACCAATGTCCGAAGAGAAACTGGCCAGAAAGTCTGCACAGTGAACCGTGGCCACCTCACCAGGACTTTCCGGCAATGGTTTCAAATGACGCACCCAGAGAAGCTCCACCTTCTCCCTGGAGCCCCCCTTCGTGCCATGAACTTGACCACAGCAGGAGGCTCCTTTTCAGCCAAAAGGCCAAATGGCGAAGCACGCCACCCAGTGGCGCAATTCATGTACAGCTTGGCCACGCAGAACTGCTTTGACAACTCGATCGTGATTGTGGATGAGTTCCACCACCTGGTGAACCACTTTTGCAGCTCCAAGGTCAAGCTTCTGCCTCGCCAGCTGATGACAGCCACGAACCTCACGCTTGTGGGTGCCTTGTTTGCATGTATAGGGCGTTGCTCACAGTCACAAGGGCTCACCGTTTTCTTGCACCGGCTTGCTTTGTTGTGATGATGGTTTAGTTTCAGATGCTTCTCAGTAGCCTGTCGACCAGGTCTCACAGGCACGCCGCTGCCGGACAATCCGAAAATAGCTCCAGAAGGATTGCCTGCCCATCTCAGCCACCAGCGGTCCAGGTTGGAAGCATTGCTGCTGGGGCGGCATCCCAAGCTCCTGAAAGTCTTGGTCACGCTGTCAGCCTTCTCAGGACCGCAAAAGTGCAATTGGGGATGCACTTGATGACGTGCGAGGGGTACGTCGCACACGTTTGCGTAAAAGCTTTTTGAATCTCTCCTTGGCAGTTTGGAACAGCCTTCAAACCAGGACAAAGAGCTTGTGTTAATTTTTGACGCGCTGGGTGTCGGCAGGCGTGCCAGTGTACATGGTCGACTTTTGGTTCAGCAAAGGGCTACAAAGGCAACAGGCAGACGAGCGTTGTTTGGAAGGCCCGGATTGCTGGCATATTGTGCGCAGAATTTGAGGGTTGCCACATGAACCATGGATGGTTATCCAAAAGCGTTTTTGTTCCCCAAAGGTCCTGCCAAGGGTTTACCCCAAAGAACAGCTGCGTGAACAATCTACATCACCTACATGTTCACATTTTCTAGGTCAAAACTTTCATGATCATTGTCATCAAATTGTCATCATCATCATCACCATCGCCATCATCATCATCATCATCATCACCGCTTGCGATCTTCATCGCCATCATCATCTGCATCTACATCACCGTTATCATCTGCGCTGTCTACATCATCACCATTGTCATCGTCAGCTGCGATATCTAGCCTGGTGTAGGCATGTACTGTAGATCATCAACTCATCCACTTATCAGCTAGTCAACTCATCGGCTCATGGAAATCACTGCCATCATCATCATCGTCATCGTCATCGTCACCGTCGTCCTTAGCAATTAACTCCTCTGTTTCTTCTCTTTAGGTGACAAAACCTGCCCCGCCGGGCATCGAAGTGCGACACTCCTTGCAGAGGCAGGCGCGTCGGATGTCCAAACGCGTGGAGGAATGCGAACTGTGTCTGTGCATGCGCAGCCCTGTATGGCCGTCGTACGTCGGAGTCGGATGTCCAAGCGCCCAGACCAACCCTTGGCAGAGATCGCGCGTGTCAGATGCACAAATGTGTGTTGAGGTGCGAATTCATCTTCTCAAGCGACCCTCCGCGGGGATTGTTCATGTCGAGTATCCAAAAACAATCAAAACGTAGATTTTGCTTGCCCGTTTGCAACCCTTTGGGCCTTTGGGCTTTGATGGCCACACTCTTTAACATGTTGATGGCCCACCACGACATGCAAGCCTTGGCGCGTAGTGCAATGTTTGCTTGGAACCTCCTTGACAGAAATGGACAAAGTCTAAGCCATGTCAGAGAAGTCTATTCTATGAGTCCCGGCTTTCACAACCCCAATCCCATAGCGCGAGCTTTGCTGAGGCGTCTTTTCATTTTGGAGACGCAGTGCAGTCTTTCATGACATTAGTGTTTGGCAATGTCTGGCTGGCAAGGATGAAAGATTGGTTGCAAAGATCGCAAGCAGCGCGGGCTTTTTGTTATCAAATGCGCAGTGCCTATTTTCCACTGAATTTGGTTTTGTCGTTTGTCACTCAGGTTCCAGCCCTGAAGCCAACCTGCGAATGCCTTTGTTTGCTTTGTGTGATATTTCACCGGCGTGATCCGCCATTCATCATCACCTTCGCAATGATCCTCACCATCATCTTCATCACCATCATCACCGTGGTCATTCGCCGCCGTCATCATCAGCATTAATCATCACCATCATCGTGTTTCTTATTGGGGATATTTTCTTTTCCCCTTCCTCCGCTTTCTTTCGGGCCATGCTGTGGTTTGGTTCTTTGGTCACAGGTCCTAATAGGCTTTGAATCACCTCCTCCGTGTAATCAGCGCGACAGAGCGTTCCACAGGCCATGTCACCTCCTACCATGGGCCTCTTCCCGGTGCGTCGCCGCAACTCCTCGGTGGAACAGCGGCGGAAGTGTGCGAAGCAGCGCTGCAGTCATGTGTTCCCTTGACGGCCATCATGGCCGCTCGCTACACCAAGAAGGTTCGCTGGCCGCTGCATGTCATGTGTAACAACAGATATGTTTTTGCTTTCAAGTGCAACAACTGTTTGTACCATGTCCTTTTCAAAACAGACAGATAAAATGGATGGAGGAACTGTGGTCAGGGAGGTGCAAGGTGAAGAATTGGGGAAGTTGTAAGGATTTGAAGCAGCCAAAAAAGCCAATCTATACGGATTGCCGTTTAAGAGCATGATTTTTTGCATGTATGGTCCGGTGGATGGAACCATTCCGCAGGAAAAGGGGACAAAGGCAGAAATAGAAGTCTGGAGCTTTGGGGCTCGTCTGGTTGGGCCAGACCCAATTCCTCCCAATATTGACAAAATCATTCGCTAAGATATTCTCTCTCAATGATGAGTAAAAGTTTAAGCCCATCGACGCCTCCCAGACCCAACGCCTCACGCCTTCCAGGCCCGAACAGTTTTGGACCCCAGCAATTCACCAAGATACCCTTGTCTGGGCCACGCCTAGCAGTACATTTCTGCGCTGTTGAGCTTGTGGTGGTGTCCTTTTCTGTTTGCGTTACGATTTATTTTCTTTATTGCGTAGCCAGCTGGTGCTCATTGAAGAAATGAGCTGATGGCGCATCGATATTCGCCATTAACCAGGGAACCGGGGACCCCCAACCGCAATTCTGCTCCTAGACTACAGTTCCTGCTCCCGTTTTTGCACCTGCTCGCCAGTTCCTCCCCAGCTCTCTTTTGCCTTTAGCAAGTGGATTTGGGTTTGGTTTGGGTGCTGTGAAGAAGCAACGCATATGCAGAATGATTGAAAAGCCCTAGTCAATTGAGTTGCTACCTGCTGTTGGGTTGCAAAGCTGGGTTCATATTGTACATATACGTATAATATATATATATATAGTATATATGTTTTCATCCTGACCCCTTGGCAAGGTGGCGGAGCGGAAAGACGACCGGACGCTCCAAGCTTACACAAACCTGGAAGTCGCTGTAGGACACATGCGACAGCCCATGTTCGAGTGCCGCGCGTTGAATTGCCCGGAGCAGTACGCATCCAAGCTCCACCATTTGGCAACGTATATGAGAGATCGGAGCCGATGCAAGACTGTGATTTTGATTCGCAAGAACACAGGCTGCTCGCTTGCATGCAATGCAGCTTGAGGTGAAAATGAAGGTTGCTGTTTCAAACCCGAGCAGATGGTTTCATTTTCCAGATTCCAGCGCCAGGCTACGATTTCTTCTTGAAATTGCTGCGCAACATGTGTGGTGCTTTGTTCGGCATTGCCACCTTGGACCAGAAGGCTGTCCTTGAAGATTTAGGGTGTTAAGCAAGGCGGACTGTTGGCAGCAGAGTTTGTGTGCCATTGTTTTGATGGACATTTTGCGCCGAAGTCTTTTCCCAAACCTGTACGTTCATTCCCCAGCCGACCGAACCGACTTAATACATGAATGTGTGTGTGTTTCAATGCGGAGTCCGTGTGCGGTGGGAACCGTTGACTGGTGCGGAGGCTGAGTTCAACTGCCGCCGCACGAACTTGCGCGGCGAGCAGTTCCGCGTGTTGGTGGCAGAGGCGTTGGAAGCGGGCGAAGGTTGCAGCTTTTTGAACGTCCGAGAACAGTTTCTTGGACGGTGATGAAATGTTGGTAGACCACGCCAGAATTAGGTAGAACAGCCATTGTCAATTCAGATTGGATGGTTGTGGGTTACCTCTCAAACTAAGGTGGTTGGTGGAGCCTTTGCTGCAATGGGGCTGGGGCTTCAGACATTTGATTTGAGAACACTTAGATCGGGGTGTGTACCAAAAAGTTCAATTTTCCTTCTGGGTTTCAGTTTCCATGGTGCCTGTGTTTGTTTTTGAAAGCCGCACTCCAACCAAGTTCACCACGCGCACGCCGGCTATAGTATTTAGGTTCGTTTGGACACCCCATGAGCGCGCAATGCGCATGGACCTGGGTTTGCTCGGTGTTGCTTGACACTGTGAGAAGTGCAAGCATACAGGCAACGAGCGTTGGCATGATTTGCTATTTCATTTTGCCTCGAGGACGTCCCCCTGACAGCGACTGAATTTGAGCAGTACAAGTCCCGTGTGGACCGCGCCGACAGTCATGCTGGACTGCCACCTGGCGAGAGGACGGTCCAAGTCCGTTTGATATGTTTCTTGGCCTGGCGGACTTTGAAAACATGTTTTTCTTTGTCCGATTTTCTGACTTTCTCTTCTATTTTGACCCTTGCGGGAACAACCCAAGTTATATACCCAGCACACTCTGCATGGTCACAGGCAGTTCTTTGCCGGAGGGGCTCGGAAACAACTTTTTGGGCAGCTATTTCTGGCGATCTGCCACAAGAAGCACCACTACCCTTCCGCCAGCCACTTGAAACACCTTTTGGAATATTTTTTCGTTGAGGTAGAGTCAGGTTTTGAGACTCTTGGTGACCATTGCATTCTTCCGATTTGTGGCAGCTGCCCATTTTAGATTCTTGGTGACCCAACCCAGTGGCCAGTTGGTTGAGTGTGTTTACCGTCCAGGCTGGATGGCAAAAGATCTTGGACAAGGTTCGTGTCAGTTGCGCGGTCGGGTTTGGGAGCAAGATGCGCGTGTTAATTGTTCCCTGATGAGCCCAATGGGTCCAACGTCCTGTGTTCAGCGTTGTTCAGCGTTCGTGAAACCTTGGGTGGTGCAGGCGCGCAGAGCAGCAGATTGCGCTGAGAAGCATCTTGACTTAGATCCTGCAGATGCGGATTGCTTGGCAGATATGCGAGCAAATTTGGAGGACTGGCTCAGCAAGCAGTGCGTGTAGGAACAGCTCAAGAGAGTGGACATGTTTTTTCGGTTTGACTTTTGATGCGTGTGTGCGAACCCTTGCGCATTTCTTCGCATAATATTTTTCCAAACCGGTCAGTGTAAGAGTGTGTCGGGCATGCAGCTGGAGAAGTTTAAGCCCGCCAAAAATTACAATCAGTCACATGAAGTTTGGCAGCGGTTTCGGTCGCTCCAATGTGCAACATTGTAGATTCAGGTTGGTTGCGCCAAAAAAGTGGTAGTCTCGAAGCCTTTGCGCATTTGTGTGTGTGTATGTATGAGTGGCATCTTTGCTCAATGCTTCAGTTTGAAAGTCGCAAGACAACCTGGATTGCTGAAACCCGGCAAGCTTGAACAGGAAAAATGTTGTTGGTGCAGCGTGCATTGTATTTTGAAGGGCCACTGCCTCCTTGAAGTTCGTTTCTGGTTCCTTCCGCATCAGGACGATGATACGTCTGATTCTTCAAGTGCTGAGCCACATAGCTCCGTTTCTGGGCATGTCCAATCTTCAGCAGACATGTCCTGGCACGGAACATGAGATGAGCAGAGGGCAATCCTTGCAACCGCATGTCGTTTCAACCACGGGTCCTACGGGTCCTATGGTTGCGCCGTACGCTTGTATTGAGAGTGGTACACTTAAATAGGGTTTGTTCGCAGGGGGTTGACATGTCAAGCAAGGTCCAGAAGGTGAAGAAGACCTTTGCAAAGCTGAGATTCGACCGGTCGGTGAGCCAAATCACCCACGCCTGTGCCAAACGGCTGGCTGCCACTTGGCCTTCACAACATCAGGTGTGGCAGGGCAGCGTTTGCATGGTTTTGCGTGGACCTCACACGGGTGTTTGCACGTGTAGTTTAAGTAGGAAAAACTGGGAAGACGCGGATTTTTTTCAAAGAAAACAACCAAGCAGAGCATTTTGCCGCGTTGTCTTAGGTTGAAACCATCGACCAGAAGGCTTGCCGGGTCCTTGCCAAGCGATGCCGGCTAGTAAGTGTGGCCCACGAAAAGCTGAAGGCCATAGCTATGGATCGACCAGTGATCCAGCAACTGGGCCACAATTGACCAAAGGTTGATTTGCGGTAGTTGTCTTTTCCCAACAAGCCAAAACACCAATTTCTTGGTTTGCGTTCCATGGTTTGTTTCCAAAGATATTTTTGTTGATGGAGTACTGGCCCACGGAAATCATTTCAATTTGGGGTTCGACAAGGTTGCGCGTTTTCAGGGGCCGCGTTCAAAAATCCTTGTCGAAGGGGTGGGGATGGCCTCGTTCTTTTAACGTCTGCCATCCTGGAGCCACGGGCTCTCCGTGTTGTGTGTGAGCTGATGGTGACGCAGCTGCGGATCCAAAACAAAGTACCGAACCAGAGTGGTGCGCATCACGGTTCGGGGGCACATACTGCAACAATTTGTGCATGGTTTGTGTTGAACTTATGGCGAGCCTGTTGTTTGTACTTGACGTTTGACGGTCGAGTCGGCAGACATGGTGTTGCGTTACCTGCACTCATGCTTCGTGGCAATGTGAGTTTTGAAGACCTTACCGCATTTGGGCTCAGGACAGCCAAGTGGGCCATACTGCAATGTCCACTAATTGGAGGGATTGCGATTCCAACCGGTATTGTTTCGTTTCCCTTCGAAGTTGTTACCATAGCGCCGGAGGGTTTGCCGAAACTACAAAATTGGATAGCTTTCTGCGCATCTCATTCTGATAGACGTCTTCAACACGTCAACAGTTTGCGAAGATAACATTTGTGCATTCATTTATCCGTTTGAATTTGAGTTGAAGTATCATGACGTTGTTTTGGATTTTTTTGTTCGAGTGACCATTCACTGGTTTCGGTGGACATGTGCTTAAACAGTGCGGACTTGTGCTGCCGGTTCGACCCGTGTCAAGACTCAAGCCATGAACAACTCTCGATGCCGGCTTGTGCACACCAATATCGCGGCGGAAGGAGAGGTGCCTGAAGTGGCAAAGCTGGATGAGGATCTGGAAAAGACATGAAAAGACCAATGCGCTGAAATGAGTAGTTATATAAACCTTGGAGCCCGGAAGAGGATGGCGTTTTCAATTTCGTATGCAGTCACTTCCTCCTCGTGGCTGTGGTGCTTGGAAGCGTTGTCTTTGGGGTGTCCTTTGGCTCAACTGATGGACTTTGCCCACCGTTATGCTGGAAAGTTTGAAGGTGTTCAGTGCTTCAGTTTTCTCTCTACAAGTTGGCTCACCTTGAAAAGACTGTTCCAGACTTGTCAGCTGATGAGTTGCAGACATTGCCAGCAAAGGTCTTTGGAGGTGTTGAAGGTGTGAGCGGCTAAGTGTCCAAAGCAACAAGCTGGCTCACCTGCATGCCGAGAGCTTTCGAAACTTCTGGGTTCGCTGGGATTGGGCGCATACTTTTTCCTTGACATGTCAAAGAACAGCTTGGAGACATTACAGCAAACGCTTTGAAGGGTTGTACCGAAGAGTTCGACCAAATGGCACTTGCAACACAACAGTTTGACTCAGCTACACCCTTCCGAGGGCTTCCGTTTGAGAGCAGATAGATGGATCGAATAGATAGATAGATAGATAGATAGTGCAGGCGTTGTAGATAGATACATATATATATATATACATAGACATATCATCAAGCAGATCCCTTAGATCTCACATCAACCCGACGATCCGGATCACCCGGGGCTCGAAAGTGCCAGCAAGTTGCGGAAAGACGGAGGCAGCCTGGTGTGCATTCTGTCCAGCATCGCAAGCTCAAAATAGGCATGAATATCTGGGTCGGATGGCCAGCATTGCTTCCAAGAGATGAGTACTTCACGTTCTGCCATGTGTCACTGAACGTTTGAACGTTTTGTTCTGCCAACTGGCTTGTTTCCAACACCGTCGTGAAGAAAACACTTCTCAAAAACCCCATTTACATCAGCCTGATCCGTCTCTCTGGGTGTTCTTGAGCAAAGATGCACCGTCGGCAGGATTTAGGTTCAAGGTGCCAGGACCATCATGAGTACCTCTCAAACAAGCATAGAGGAGCTGTCGGATGCCATCTTGAGGCGCGCAGATGAGAGGCTCCTCGCTTGAACCGGAAAGTAGATAGAGGGTGATCATCCTGCGAACTTGTCCGTGTGGCACATCCACTTGTGTGGGGAGACTGTCTCAAAAAACACAGGAGGTGGTTGGGGCCCTGCCACTGAGGTTAGGAGATCTGTGTCGGAACATTTGCCGCCAAGTGACCGTTGAGTTGGAGATCGCTGCGGCTTCCCTGGTGCGGAAGGCGCCGCGGGGCAACAAGATCTTGTGGGTGGTGCTTTGGTGTGTTGTTGGACGGCCACCCGTGGATCAAAGCTTCATGGGAACATCCGCCCAAATGGATCGCCTTTTTCGTGTCTGTCTTCCCTTGGCCAAGCCTGAAGGTGGCTATGATCCATGTGACCCCTATAAAGCCCGGCAGTTCATTTAGAGCACTGCCCTGCTTCGCCCGAACTTCGCCCTGCTTCGCCCGGCCAGGTGCAGGAGAACGAACCCATCCACGACTCGGCAGTGACGTGGCCCACGTGGCCGAACGCGGCCTGGACGCCGAGGGCCACCGTCTGCGGTCCGCGGCCGCACGGGCGAGACGGCCAGACGGGCCGGAGATGGACGTCAAAAGGACGACCCGGGTCGTTGGGGCGACTACGCCAGTGGATCTGGCGTGGATCTGGCGTCCAGCTTGAAGCCTACTGTAGATGGATGACATGTCAAAACCACTTGACCATACTTGACCCCGGATCCATCCCAAGACTCAATGTTGGCAAGGCTTCCAGAGTGTGGGGCCGAATGGGATGAATCACATCAAACCCTGATGACGTCAAACGGCCGGAAACTGCATTCATCGAACTTTGGGGAACCGTAAGGGGTTTGTGACAGTTCATGGCTCAGTGACAGTGAAGATTTTTTCCATCTACTGTGCACGTGGAACGGCTATGAGGACTATCAAGAAAGACGTCACCAAAGTGTGGCCTCCAAGGCCTCTCGCCGAGCTCCTACCATGGCTTGGGCAGAGCCGGTGCAGAAGACGACGTCAGAGTGCCTTAGCCCGGCGAGTTTGAAGAGGGAAGTGCCACCTGGGCGCATAGGTCCTAGGTTTTGAATCGGTGCCTCCAGGTATGAGCCGCGCTTGGTGGACTATCCATTGCCGCTGTCCACCAGCCGCGCTTTGCTGGAATTGCAAGATGAAGGCGCAGAATTGCCCACGATAGCAAGCCCTGGCAGTGTCTCAGCTGAACTGTGGATTGATGATGATTGATTTTCAACATTGTTCAACAACCTTGGGCTTGGGTGGTGCACCTGAGGTCATGCGCCAACCAAATGCCAAGTTGCCCCAAGCTCTGAAGGCCCCGGCTGCGGTAAGGTACCCCTGTGGCACCCGTTGGCTGCCACAGTCACGTGTTTTTCTTCATTCACATTTGCAGGAGCTCAGGAAGACAAAGATGGTGAAGGTGCCCGACGGTCGTGCCCGCGCTCGTGCCCGACGCGGTCGTGCGACAGAGTGACCGCGAGTTCGCAGTGACCGTCTTGGCAGGTTTCAAGCACTTGCAGCGTTCAATGACCAAGGGCTCCAAGAAAGCAGGTGAGACCAGACAGAAGGTAGACCTGGATGATGTGCACTGCATGGTATGGCAACATGTGCATGTCACGAATGTGCCAAAGAAGATGTACAGTGGTTTCAGAGTAGATGGCACAGGGCCCCCAATGCCGGTGGTTGATATGAAGCTCCACTAAGACATCCCGGGGTTTGTGCCATCTATTCTGAAACTACTGTACTGTAATATCAGAATGCGGTCCTTATACAGGCGTGTTGCCTATCGCGCCGTTGTGTCGGTTGGTGTAGGAACCTCCGGGGCCGCAGAACGAATCTTCGGCTTGGTGCCACAAACCAGCATGGATGTACCTCTGGCGCACTAGATTTTCTGTGTGTCCCTCAAATAAATAGATATACAGTACTCTACGTCTCTACGTAGATACATGTAAAAGATAAAGTACATGTAAATACATAAACGTTTTACACATACATACATACATACATACATACATACATACATACATACATACAATCAAGGCCATAAGTGTTCAAGGTCGTGCCCCTCACAAATCGACCTAGTGCGGTAAGCCCCAAGCGCTTCGAACATATCCCCCATCTTCCTGCACGGAGACCCTACTTCCTTGGCTGCCACTTGGGCACTGGTCTTTGCTCGTTATAGAGGAAAAGCCAGAGGAGGTGATCAGGCTTCCCAGGAACTTTGTCACCGGCACCTCAACCTCCGGGACTCCGTGAATTTGATTGGGGCAACAGCACTGAACACTAGTACGGCCAGAACGTGCTCGGTGCCACCTTGTTTGCCCATTTGATCGACTACCAAGTCCACATCAGCGAGAGGGCGCCTCCTCCAGCACCTGCACTATGACGACTAGCACCCCCACTTCATGGAGCAGAGCTTATGTGGTGTGCCACAATTGCTCGAATTGGATTTGGCAAGACAAACTACGTCCCGACACCCGATGCCGCAAATGTGGCAACTGGTGGCCCTCAGCACGTGCAGGAATTGGCAAAGGCAAGGGTCAGGGCAGACCTCAACGAGCTCAAGACAGCTGGCGATCCAGCTCCAAAGATCTTCTCGACAGACCACCAGGGCTTCAAAAGCTCAAGCCGCTCAAGAAAACCATGCCCACACAGGCTGCCCATGAGATCTTAGCCAGCACCTGGGAGGCCATCCCAGCTGAAGCTCAGACCAAGCTCCAAACCCTGGGCTTTGGACCACCCCCGCAAGAGGAGCCAGGGCTTGAGGCCGTCTTGCAAACCCATCTCAAGGAACTTCCACAAGCAGTCCAGGATGTGGTCAACAAAATGCACCAGCCCATCCCGGACACCGAGAAAGCCCTGGCTCAGAAGCTAAAGACCCAGGTCACCGAGCTCAAAACCATCTCCATGAAGAAAGCACAGCTCCAAGGCCGACTAGATCAGGTCAAGAGCCAATATGCCAGCATGCTACAAGACATGCAGGAACACCAGACCAAGCTCACAGATGGACAACAAAAGCTCAAGACCTTGTCCGAGCAG